CACCTTTCCTCCTTATTATTCCACCCCTTTGTTACATTTTGTACTTCTGTAATTACTGTCACGACTTACTGTATTGTTCAGATGTTAATTAGTTTCTGTTGAACTTTCCCAAGTTGTTTGGAAGTAATTATTCCAGGAACACATTTAACAGTCTCGTTAGTCAGGTTGATCCAAAAAGTCACGGCATGATTTAGTGTGAGACAAAATGTAGCCACGTTTCTTGTGTGCTTCTATGAAATGAAACGACATATTCAAATTACCAAAACAGTTTCGCTGAGGGAATTTCACATGCTGTAGTCCCAAAATTAGCTCATGGCTAAATATAGACGAATCATTTAAAATGCTTTGGCCACAGTCAAAAAAAAAAAAAAAAAAGTTTCCAGACCTCAATAGCTAAACCTCTTAGTGCAACTATCCACTAAAATATCTTTAAAGCATTCCTTGGCACCTGTTCTCATTCACTCGCGGCGAAAACAAAAAGAAGACTCTAGCTCATACAATTCTCAGGCACATAGTGTCACTCCGAGTTTAAGTTTACTGTAAATTTGACACCTAAAACAAACGAGAATCAAACACCAAAACCTTCCACTAAACACAGCACCACCATTTCGTCGAACAAAAAACTCATAAATGACTTTGCCCCTAAGATGAGCTTCGACTGTGTGCCGACGGCTTCTTTTTGTTCTGTAGTGGAATTAATGGAATTTAGTTCTCGAGCAAAGTACTTGGAAGCGATTAGTTTCTGAGTGCAGCGATGAGCCTTTTGCATTTCAAGGTTGCAAAACAGACTTTGGTGTCGGTAATGGAAAACTTTTTGTGATATTGTTCATGTTAAAAACTCAATATTAAAATCGCACGCCCTGCGAAAACACGGTGCGTGGGTGCGCTTGTGTCGGGGCAGGCGTCTGGGCGCAAAAACAAACAAAATGACACCGAGGCCTGACGTCATCATGATGTGACACGTCTGCTCGATACTCTAGTCTCGATCATTTCTTGGTCTTGGGTTATGCGTTCTTGAGTACAACGCGACTTTACTCTATAATTAACCCAAAAACAAAATCGCTACACGTTGTGTGTTCGAAACAATCCAGCCACGTTGCCGAAAGAATCGCTCGCTAGCTTCGTGCTCACACGTAATGAGAAATGCTTTTGACACGCTAACGGTTAGCATCGACGGTTGCGGTTTTTAACAAACCTTTAAGGGTAGACCGAGAATATCACAATAATCACAACCATATATCTTTCATCTCTATGAAAAATAGTACGATACAGTATTCCTGTTACAGAATTTTACTGAGTCACTTACAGTAGTGGTCGAAGATGACGTCTTTTCTTCTTCGTTGGTGTTTTCATGACTGCATAGTATTATACTGCCTCCCCGGGGCCAAGGTGGGCGCAGCTAAAGGAGCAACACAATGATTTGGGATTGCAGCATCAGGGCAAATCCTTTACAATCTGTTGAATTACGTTACTACACTACATTTTATAAAGAACAATATGGCAACAAGCTATTTTTCTCCAGCATTTGTCCCTTTTTTTGGGAGGGAGGCGAGAACGAATTTATGGCATTTCCATTCATTTCAATGAGGTAAGAGATATCAATGTTCAGAGTGACAAGAATGAATTATAGTTGTTTTTCATTTCAATGAGGCAAGAGATATCAACGTTCAGAGTGACAAGAATGAATTAAAGTTGTTTTTCAAGGCACCGCTGCACTGTAAATGCAAAAAAAAAAGACCCTACAATGTCACTTACATCATTTTAATGTGTACTAAAGTCGTCTTGCATTGAATTCTTTACTTTTAGGATGTCACGGGGTCGTTACAAAACCGATAGCAATATGTTCTATTCTGAGAATATCGGACAGGGTTGACTTGGATGGAAATGTGTGTGTGTGTGTGCGTGGGTGCGTGCATGTTAGTGCGTGCATATGTGTGTGTGTGTGTGTGTGTGTGTGTGTGTGTGTGTGTATGCGTGCGTCTATCCGGGCTCCCCGTGGTCCTTCTATTGGTCTTCTGGGTGGGTGGTCTGTTCCAAGAGAGGAGCATTGGAAATATTACACCTACCTACACACACACAAGCAAACTGGGAATCACACCAACGCAGCACAGCGGCGGGCGGAGCAGGCGGGAGCCGTCTTCCAGATGTGTGACGTTAATTTGCTCCATGCACAAACATGAACCGGTAGCTCCCACTCACTCATCACCACTTTGGCTGTGTGGCTACGTCCGTGTGTTTGTGTGTGTGTGTGTGCGTGTGTGTGTGTACAAATGTGTGTGAAAGTGTGTTTGTGTTTAACAGAGAGATACATAGCTTTTATAAAAAGGAAGTGGTGGAAAGTACAAACGCTTTGGTACTGTACTCAAGTCGATTAATCCCGGTATCTGTGCAGTTGGTCAGTTGGTGCAGAGGCTAAAGAATACTTTCAATGTATTGCTGTTCAGTTCCAGTCTCCATTGCTCAAAATGATGCTAGTTTCGTTAGCCTGCCTGTGGCATTTCGCATTATGTTTTTAGCATTTTAGCATCAAGCTCACATACTTTTGCAAGATAAATTTATATCAATTTTTTGAGTCCATGAATTGAATCGGTACTTCTTCCATTACCAGTCTTTTTTTTTTTTTTTACACAATTTTAAAAACATAAAAATCTACTGAAGTGTGTACTCTTCCCATCCACCTGCGAGGCTCCTTCCCACTCGCAGGTGATGGCGAAGGTGAGAGGATGTGGGAAAAGCGTCCACTCTGACCCGGAGTCCATCACCGGAGGAGGAGGAGGAAGGGGGCATGAAAGACAAAGACGGATCAAGTGAGGAGGAGGACGAGAAAAATGAAATCAGAAGAGCGGAGGAGGAAAAAGACGGAAGAAGTTGATTGGCTCCCCCCTGAGATCCTTTTGTTTAGATTGTTCCTCGCTCCATCTCTTTTTCTCTCTCTTTTTTTTTTTTTTTTTGGGACATCTGAGGTACATTACAGCAGCCGGCCCTGAGTCACATCTCGCACTTAAACCAAGAACATATGCGCTCTGTGTGCGAGTGTGTGCGTGTACGTTGGGATGCAGCGGGATTTCCCCCCGCGCTGTTCCCAGAGTGCTGCTGGACTTTTATTTTCTTGTCCATTGTCTCATGCTGTGATATAAAAGGCTTATTGTTTGCAGAGCAGCCAGGGTGCTGCTGCAGGTTAGCGGACGGTCCCCAGCGACAACCATTCATCCTCCCCCTCCGCCCTTGACTCCCGAATTGAAGATTTTAAAATGCCATTCATCCAGTCCATCCACGCAAAGTCAACAACCGCATTTTTTTTAGGGGGGGTGCGCTTTTAACTCACTCACTGCCATGGATGTTTCAAATTGTCAACTGGAATCCAAACAGTTACGGTCACCGATGTGGATGGCGACGCTGCATCGCGTCGTCTCGGAGATGAGCACCGATTTTGAGTCAAAGATGAAGATTTGGAGGTGAGTCTCGGCTTGTCACCTCAGTTGAGAAAGGCCAATGCGTGGGAAGTCGGAGAAGTTAGCCACCTCACACTCGAGCGGCGTATGTCGTATGTAGAGTATGGTGGGAACAGACCCGCCCCCACGGGGAGTCCAGAGGGGGCTGTGCCTGCCCACCAAAATACTTGTGCCCCTTTCATAAAAGAAATCACGGGAACCACAAACCGTTTGGACAGCTTTTTTTCCTGATGTAGACACGCAGTGAAGTAGGTGGCCTGTTTGAAGCCATGTGTAAGTGCGTCCGCCATATTGGATGTGGCCATCGTATTACTGTAGCCATAAAAGGGGGCAAATAATATTTGCAAAATGAGGTTGCAATGACATCATAAAATCAAAATCAATAGTTCGGTATTCATCCAACGAAGTTGAGGCTTGATGAGGAGCAAGTGAAGGAAGCATCGTCACAAATTGCTTTTACTTTGCCACACCCAGTATGTCTGCGGTGTGTCTTTTGTCATCGTGAGAAAAGATGAGCCAGTACATGCAGTGAAGAGCGATCGGCATGTCAAAAAAAGCCACAGAAGTTCAACTGGAGTCATGTGCTGAGTCAGTGTTGATCACGCCGCGTTTGTTGCCATACATCTGCAAATGCATTTTTTTTTATTTTGCCATCAAAAGCTCGTTTATTTATTTTTATTTTTTTTGTGGGGTCACAAAGCAAAACGTTCACGTCAGTCACCGTTCGGCTTGACGTGTTTCTTTTCACCACCCCCCCAAAAAATTGCTTAGTGTCTCTGCTTTTTGGTCAGAAACCAACTGATCTTTGTGTGAGCGTCTCGGCGTGAGCTGTGGTTTACAGCAGCTCCTTGTGAGTACCCGGAGAAAACCCACACAGGCATGGGAAGAACATACAAACTCCACACAGGAAGGCCGGAGCTGGGATTGAACCCACGACCTCTTCACTGTGAGGTCGACGCGCTTACCACTCGCCCACCGGGCCGCCCGGATGCTATTTTAAGTTTCAAAAAAATTTTTAGATTGGTACATTAAGTTTTTTTTTTTTTTTTTTTTTTGGTCCATTGAAAATACGGCCTAACACCTAAAAACATGAACATTCACGCTGGATCAACTTTGTGTGTCTTGAGTCCAAAAAAGTGTGTGGAAAACATCTGAACTCAAACAGAAAATGTGATTTATTTATCAAGTGCATCTAAATGAAAGATTTCAACTCAAGTTTCGCTCTCAAAGCACTCGGATGACGAATGCGACACCGGACGGGATGGAATTGAACCTTTGCTGTTGCCGGGAGATGTCAGCAGCTATTATTGCCATGCAAGAATGTGGCAAAGGAGACAAAGGGTGACAAAACACTGCGACACATTTGTCAAAGTGTCAGTTGATTGTTTTTCTTTTATTAGGTTTTCACTCAGTTGAAGAAAAAAAACAACTTTGTCTTTGGAACGTTAAACGAACAAAAGAGAAAAAGGTTAAAAAAAATAAACATTTGCATGACAGAAATTGACATGAAAACATTTTTGAATGCGGGGCAAACTCCTCTTTTTTTGTCCCTTTGTTTTACAAAAAAAAACAAAGCTAAAAAAAGGTATTTACAGTGCATCAATATGTATTTACATTAAGGCATTATTTTATTTTTTATTTTTTTGCTGGGGCAGAAGACGGCGATGTGATAGCAACCCCACTTGTACACAAATAAATAGTCAGATGTCGCGTGATTTTGACGTTTACAGTGCTAGTCTCTGGATGCTACCTGCTGTGAGTCAACACACACACACACACACACACACACACACGCACACACACACACACACTTTGGACTGTTTGCATGTCGGCTGATGAAACGTTTCACCATTCCTTTTGTTGCAACAATAAAAAAAAAATGAAAGAAAAACAACAACAGCACCGTGATTGTTTGAAAGTCTCAGTGCAACACAGCTTTGCTACCATGAATTCCAACACAAGGCAGACGACATCGAGGCACTTTGAGGAAAGGTTGGAGATGCTGACAGGCTTTGGTTAAAAAAACAACAAAAAAAAGAGCTGGGAAGATGCACGGCAAAAAAGAAAAATGAAAAGAGGAGGAGACGAGAGAGTGTTTTTTTAAGCCGCTCGTGTTTGTGTCTGCTTCGCTAAAAGACAAAATGAATAATTGATCAGCTAATTGCTGCTCTTTAGCAAACTCCCTCGCTGAATTAAAAAAAAAAAATCCTTCTATAAATCCGCCTCGCCCCCTTTTTCCCTTCCTTCCATCTCCTGACGCACCGATCGTCTAGCGGTGTCGTTTTTTATTGTCTCATTGGTCTGCATTATCTTTTTTCGTGTGTGTGTGTGTGTGTGTGTGTGTGTGTGTGTGTGTGTGTGTGTGCAAACAAAATGATTTGATTGAAAAACAAACAACAACAACAAAAAGCACAAACGAGATATTCCAGTTCTAGGAAGTAACAAAATAAGATTTGGCAAGACTAGTTTTGCACATTCATTCAATCATCCATTTGCCACGCCGCATGTTTGTTTGTTCGGGTCGTGGCGGACTTGGGCCAAAAGGCGGGCAACACCCTGGACTGGTCGCCAGCCAGTCATACGACTCACAAAAACATTTTCATGGTGAACCAAAAATGTAGTTCGCACGAAAACTCCATTTGACCTTTCTGAATGCGCATGTCCAACTGTCCGATGTTTTTTTTTTGTTGTTTTTTTTTGCATAAAACGGTGTCCTCTAAACAGCTGAATGGCAAAAAATGACAACCGGTGTGGAGCTGCATCGATGACCCGATAACTAATTGATCGTCAAATGAATGGCTGATCACTTCTGATCACCGAAGCCTAAAATTGTCCCAAACGTCAAAATTTCAGCCTATCGGCGGTCGATCTTCTCATTGTCTTGAGTCAAAATAATTTGCAAAAATCCGCTTGGACTTTGGAAAACAATTTTTTGCCTATTTTCTGACTTTTTACGGACCAAACCGGCCGCAGAAGCAAAATTCATTCATCATGATCGTTTCCTTCTCATGCAATGGACTATCCCATCTTCTCACTGCACATGATTCAGGAAGACTATCACCCCCCCCCCCCATTTTTTTTTTAAATCAAAACCACCTCAACCTTTTTCATGGCGACACCAAAATGTGAGTACAACCGACAATAGCAAGAGCCGTTTGCTCGTTGCAGGAACATTTGGGAGAATTGAGAAGATATCGTGCAGCTGCACCTTGGGAAGCGAACCGCAACATCGAGAGCGGTCGGCGCGTTCACATTGCATCGTTTCGTGAAGCGTGAAAATGGTGAAGCGACACAGCCCTCACATTTGTTTGCATTGCTGCTGTCATCTGATTTATGACTTCGTGACTTCTGCTCACGCAGCACTCGCTTGACAGAATTTTGGGGAAGCCGTCACGGCGAGCGCCGTGTCCCGCTGTCGAGCAAGTTCGCAACCGAAGGAGATAAAGTGTCGTTCCGATGAATTAAGGCTGCGTATGCCTTTCGCCTCACTTTTTAAGACCAGAACATTTCTGTATAGTAAAGCGGACATTTATTGTCATAACGGGTTGACTTATTGCTTGCGTTTGTTCAGAGTACATTGGAAGAGCAACTTGGGAAGAAAAATAATAAAAGAGAGAGTCGCAACATCAAAGGGCGGGACTGATTATTTTTCAAAATCATTCAGCGCCACCGTTGATCACTTGTCAGGACTCATTCTGGTCTCACGATGTCAAAATGTGACCAGCGCGATGACGAGGACTAAATCAGGAATTTATTGGCCCCAACAGCCAGTTGTGCAGAAAAATCAAACAAACAAACAAACAAAACAAAACTTCACAAGCATTTTAGGTTCATCCGGAAAAGTCACCCTGTTGCGAACAGGCCAGACAAACAAAAGCAGTCACACTCCCATTCACACCCGTGGACAATTTAGAGTCTTCAATGCACCTCGCGTGCATGTTTTTCGGAATGTGGGAGGAACCCGGAGAACACGCCAACGCCGCACTTGTCCAACGGAGCCGAGACTCCGATCCCGAATCTGACAACCGTGCGGGGCACGTGCTCACCGCTCGTCCGCGGGGTTAAGTGCCATCGTTCCGCTCATCAACGGATTGCCGGACCTTTTTGGGGCCGGTCTGGACTGAGTGCATCTGAAGCTTCCAGTTGTTCCCGCTCCACCGAGAGGAGTCGGTGTGGAGAAAAAAAAAAAAAAAAAAGTAATAACCCCCCCTGCCCGAAATGAAGAAAACAACACCACCAACAACAAAATGGCATGAGCGAGCGCGTCGGGCGTGGTCAAAGTGTTAGTTCTGGTGCCTCTTCATGTGCAGGGCCAGGTGGTCCGAGCGGGAGAAGGAGCGCGAGCACACGGCGCACTGGAAGGGCTTGGCGCCCGTGTGCTTGCGGTAATGGCGCGTCAGCTCGTCCGAGCGGGCGAAGCGCCAGTCGCAGCTGTCCCACGTGCATCTGTAAGGCTTCTCACCTGCGGCGGGGGGGGGGGGCACAAATGAGAGACAGCGTCAGAAAAGGACCACGCGCTCAAGTATGTAGCGGCACTTTCATTGACGAGTGGGGCCCGTTGCTCAGTTTTGCCACCTTGTCCATTTTTGGTTTTTGTTTTGCTTTCTGAAGCGAGCCGAAAAATGGAGGACAATCGAGGTACTTTTTGGCCTCTCATGATATATTTTTTTCAGAAACTATCAGGATAAAAGTTCGCTTTATTTTTTAATACGATTGACGTCATATTGGAGCATAGATCAAGCATGTTCTTCTTAACTCCTGCACTCAAGTAAAAAAGTACAGACTCTAAAATGTAAGCGGTGTAATGTCGAGTGAAGAACACAATGTGATGCAAAAAAACCCCATTCAAAGTGATTATTTTAATCATCCATTAATCAGTCATTTTTTGTCAATTAATAAATCATTCAGATTTAAAAAAAAAATTCAATTTCTTTATTCAAAAGGAGGACACGATTTCAAATTGACAGTGTAGAAATTGCACAAGCATTCATTATGAGTCAGTTCCGGCTTTGTTCCAGAACCGGTCGGTGAATTGGCAAAAATGTTTTTTTGTTTGTTTTTTGTTTTCTTCTTTTTGGAGAGGACGACAGAAAACAGAGAGAAGCGGAAATTCCAAGCATTTGGATATTTTTAAATTGAAAAAGCCACTTCAATGATTTGCTGACATCATCTTGAGATGGCACCGGCTCAACTTTTTAGAAAGGAGAAAAAAACCCTTCCCAAAGCTAACATTGTGAAGTGACTACCCCTCTCCCCCCAAAAAATTAACAATTAGCTAAATTAGCTCATGTTAGAAAAAAAAAACACCTTACTTTACGCATTTTTTTTCAGATGCAATGGAGAATTTTTTTGAACAGCAGAATCTATTTTTTTTTCCTTGGGGTGGCCCACAAAACAGCACATTGGCCACAAATCAAAAGGCAAATCTCCAAATGTGTCGCATCGTCGTGGTCATTCATGCTCCGTATTTTCAACAGCGGTCCCGTAGATCCGCCCATCGCAACCCGACTGTGCGGTTCTCTATTCGTCTTTTGGACATTGTGCCGACGCACGGTCGAGTAAACCGTCTCTGTGAGCATTGACGATGACATCCAGGTGACAAAGTCATTCACGCCGAATCGTAGTGAGTGACGGATTAGCCGGAACTGGAAAGACGGGTTGGCTTGGCTTCATCGGCATGTGTGCTCGCTGTTCTTATAGTACGTGGTGTGCCAGAGACATTCAGGCTTATTATTGTTATTTGTGTACTCTAATTTACTTTAAAAAAAGGGGGAGGGGGGCAGGAAACGGTGCTGGCCAGGCCTTAATAAAAAAATAAAATAAAAAAAAAGGCTGGCGGAAGGCGACCACATTGGTGGGTGAGCGGAAAAACGTAAAGGCCGTTAGCATTAGCACCGATGCTTGTGCCAACGCAACACGGGGAGGTGTCTCCGGGCTGGTTCGCCGACATTGCGGATGACTAAAGGAGGCGATTTGGGGAGGTCATTCGAGTAACAGAAATGCTATGGCGCTTTTGACAAGCCAGCGTCGGATCCGCGATGATCCCAAAGCCATTATCTTGCATCAAATGATTGCAAACGCTGCCTTTGACACATCATTGGGCACTCGCTGAAATGATTTTTCTCTTTTTTTGGTGGGGGCGGGGGTATAATTATACTTTCTACATTTGTTTTTACAGTTTCCCCCGTTATTATCATCACTTTCCTTCGCCAATTGGACGGGGGGAGGAGGGGACTACACGCTCCGGCTGCCTTATAGCGACTCAAATTTCCACTTCGCTTCACATCGCCAAATAGTGTTCCTTCACTTGCAAAGGGCACACAATTTGGCCGGCGCCCACCTCGGTCTGCGAGATGTACCTCATTGTCATTTGGCTAGAAAAAAAAAAAATGAAAAGATCTATATGCTTTATTATTTAGAACTGTTTTTAAAACCGAGGAGGGAGTGTGCAGAGGAAACAAGGAAACGGGCAGGGAGTTCATCTCTCGCAACACAAACACACACACACACACACGCACACACGCACACAAACAATCAGGGTAATGGATGTTGATGGAGATTAGAGGGGAACTCCCGTGGGGACCCAAACGCATTAGGAATCATCTCATACAGATTAGTGGCAGGTGGATGTGTGCGGCCGTGCGCGAGTGTGTGCGCAGTCAAGCGTCTGAATAAGAGTGGCGCATCGAGTAACAAAAAGACAGGCGACGAGGGAACGCGGGGGAGCGGGGATGGTGGGGGGCATCCTGAGAGGGTTTTGAAGGTGGAAGGAAAAAAAAAAAAAACCCCGGCGAGATGGAGTGTAAGCTCCAAAGAACAGACAATACAAAAATTGGTTGCGTGTCTCTTTGTGCATCCAAGCAATGTTTAAATGTCGTGTCCTAGCCCCCCCCCCTTCGACTCCATCCGACTCGACTAAGGTGTGTGTTGTTGGCCTGCGTGTGTGCAAGACGTGGAATGTGTAGATATCAACAGAAGCTTTGTTTAGTTAGCTGCTCCAAGGTGGGGCCCCCGCCACCCAAAAAAAAAAGAAGCCTCGCAGGCCCTGCTTGTTGCTTCTGCTCGTCCAAACTAACATTGGGGACCACGGGACGGACCAACAAGAGAGGAAGCGTGGAAGCAAAAGCAACCCCAAGGGCGCTCCGTTGAGGCCGAGGCCTCCCCCAAGGCCAAATGGAAAGCTAATTGGGATCTCGAAAAGTGTTGATAGCGAGCTTGCGATGACGCTTGGGGTGGTCATTTCAAACCCTTGAAATGTTCTCCTTTTAGCGTGAGGAAAAGTTTCCATCCATCATCCCAACCGCGAATAAAATTCAGAATATGAGGTCTGTTTTTCCATCGTTTCTTCGTACTTGATTTTCATTGGTTCCATCCCGCCTCGTGAGGATTGTGACTCAAGGTACCAAATGTGGCTCCGTGCCTGACGAAGTGCGACGAAATAACGATGTCAAGTGTGATTTTTGAACTCACTCGATCAGGTTTGCATATCGCGCACCCACGACATGATTGCCTACGTCCAAAAGAAGTCCCGGATTCGCACCTTCAAGCGCGGTGCTTGTGCACAAATTTTCACCGAAAACAGCGGTCAACAAATTTTTACGACATTTTAACAAAAATCGGGATTGCGTGTAAACTCTGAGAGATGAATGACTCCAAATCCGCCCTCATTTTTTTTTTTCTTGAGCACATCAGGTTTTCGCTACAATAAGAAGTGATACAGTCCTACATTTTGTGATATTTAGGAATTACTAGGTGAGGTTAAGCAACAGGTGGAATTTTTTTGGGGGGGAAACGTCATCGCGATAAATGACAACCCAGTCAAATCCATATTGTGCAAGTTTTTCAAGGGCAAACTTACCCCCCCTTCAAAAAAAAGATAACACTTCCAAAACCTAATGTGCCGGGAAAAAAAAATGGAAGCCATTTTTGAAATTAGCATCAAAAATACGCTGAGAGCCGGCTGTGATTCAAATTTGCTGTTGACCAACCTTGATGAGAGTGAGCGGAAAAAACCCTGAAATGGCGTGCGTGCCATTTTACGGATAATAACCAAGTGCGGTAGATCTTCAAGAGCCCGGAGACCATCGGACCGCTGCCTACTTCTATCAAAAATGAGGGGCGGGGGAAAAAAATGCTCCGATGAATGCGGCACGTATGCGCCGCGACTTGACAAACCTCACCAAGTCGCTCTTGACGGGAGCATTTCTCGGTAAGCGAGCGGACATACTCCGAGTGTCACCCCAAGCATTTCTCGGTAAGTGAGCGGACATACTCCGAGTGTCATCCCCCCCCCCCAATCCTGTCACACTTCCACCTGTTTTGATGGAATAGTATATTGGGCAGATGATGCGGAATGGCGCGGCGGGCTACATTTACACACACACAAACGCGTGCCAGGAGCGCAACACTCTGCCCGGCAACACGGTGCCGGGCGCGGCCGCCGAAACATGAGTCGGGCGATTCTTATTATTATCGGAGAGAGGGACGGAAGACGGTCTTACCCGTGTGGGTCCTGAGGTGGGCTTTCAGATGGGACGACTTGGTGTAGACCTTCTTGCAGCCTGTCGGGACAGAAATCAAGGGGCAAATCAGTCACCATCATGCGTCAACTTTGTCACTTGGAGTGAAATGTGGGTCCTTTGAGTGGAAACGATTGTTCTGCCATTTGAATGGCGACAGCTGGACACACGTGGTGATTGGAAAAAAAAAATGGCTAAGGTCCTGAATACATAAGGTCAATTCGCGGAGCCCTGAAGTCAAAGCAAATACGGTGCGTCGGTATTTCGCTGTTATGCTGCACGCAAATGGAATGAGTGGCCAACAGAATTTTAGTTCGGCCCAAGTCGAAATGCTTTTAAATCCAGGTCAAAATGACGCCCCCCTTACATCTGATTAAGGTCTTTTAGAGCATTTGTAGAACCGATTTTTTCCCCCCAAAATCACATTCTGGCACTTTTTTTGGTTGTAATTTTAAATTCTCCATTAAAAAAAAAAGTCTTCAATTATTTTGCCTTTAAATATTTTGTCAAGCAGATTGAGTGACCTTGTGAATGAAATGCGCTCTATCAATAAAGCACCTTTGCCTTGCCATGAGTACACTCTTTGGCCTTGTGATTAAAAACGATAAATAAATATAATTTAAAAAAAAACAAGGTGCACAAGCAGAATAACTTGAGTGTCTTCCATTCTTCCACTTTCAGTTCCTCTTTTGGCCTACTAGCGTGCAATCATCATGACAAAATGAACGCTGAAAGAGATTTCCATAAAGCGTTTGGCTATGCGGCTCGAGCACCAGTAGACTCTTTGTTCTCACTAGTAAGCGCACGCCGACTAGTTGGACCTTGTCGTCGGACTGGTGCGGGACAGTTTGATACGAAGATTGAATTGCATTCCAGTTGGCTAAAAGGCGCACGAGTGTTGGGGAGTGGGGGAAAAAAAAAAATCCCCAAAACGTTTTTAGTAAGACGGGCAAGAATTCTACTAGTGCACCTGAGTCGTGCTGAATTTCTTTTACTAGTAAGGAGAAAGAGGGTACTGGAGGTGGGGACTTAAGTCGGGTCATAAGGAGGGGCTTGCGGGATTCGTTAAACAATTTCCCGGCCAATTTTGTGAAATTTTCTACGGCACGTCCCTCCCAGCGGCCAAATGTCTCAAAAAGTCATGTTCTCTGATTTAAAAACAACAAGCCACAGAAGAACAAACAGGTCGAACCACACGTGCTCGTTATTATCGCAATTGAGACAATTAACATTCGCGTCTGCGTTCGCAATGCGCTTTTTCAGCGGGTGCGCACTTTGAAAGGTGCCCCAAGTGAATTTTGGAGATTCTCTTCCTTGACGCGTGAGAGCACTTTGCATCATTTGAATTTGAAGACGTGCGCAAACACGCTTACGGGGAGGTCCGCCGTTAAGTCTCCTTTTTTTTTTTTTTTTTTTTTTCTAAATCTCAGCACCTCCT